AAATATGTTAAAAGATAAAACTCGCTAAAAATTAGTATATGTATGTATGTATATATGTATATGTATATTCATACATACATACATACATATGTACATCGATTTAAGGTACCTTCCCACAGTAATCAGAATTCCCAACAAACAAAACCACAGCTATAATGGTGTCTGCCCCCCTTTATACCCGCACACGCTTACCACGAACCCAAAAGCCGCAAAAAGTCCCACAATACTAATCACATTCCATATGCTCACACACCAGCTCTCCACCATACCATTTGCGAAAAGCGGCGTTCCCCTTCATTAAGTCGCAAGAGCTGCTTTCCATAGTCGAAAAAAATAAACGAAAGCTCAAACGAAAACAAAACAGAGAAAAATTCAATGACAACACATACAGCGTGCTTTTTATGTGACGAATGATGTTCACAAACGAGGGCGCAGCGCTAAGGTGGCGCACACTGCTTTGATAGTACAAATGCGAAAAGTGTGAAAAAGCAAAAACAACAACAAACACCGAAAAACTATCAGAACAACAAAGCAATAAGCAGCAGCAACAGCATAGCTTGAATGACTTCGAAAGCAACAACGCTAATCAAGGTAAACGAGAGTTATGGAGTATCGCTGGAGCCGAAGGAGCACCACATTTACAACGAAGAGAGGGCCAATTTGTGAGCACAGCAGAAGCAGAAGAGTGAAACAGAATCAGAGTGGCACAATCTGACAGAGAGTTGATGTAATTGTCACAAAAACAACAATGTGAGACATCAACAGAGCCAAAGGTTGGAGACACCGTCGCATGGGCGCAGAGAGCAGTTTTGGCGAAACGAAATTTGTAGTCAGTCTGGGTGGAATCGCAAGTATTCTTTTTTCAGATGTGCCACTGTTTGGCGCGCCGGAAACCCAAATTACAAAAACAAAACACTGTTGAAAAAGAAATTAAAGAACCTTTAAGCGGCGAAAACCTGAATTAACAGCAAAAAAGCAACACATTTAATGCTAGAGAGAACGAAAGAAAACAGGAAAGTGCCGCCCGATCGAGAGGAAGTTAAAAAGAAAACACCAAAAGGCTGGTTAACTAACAGGAAATGTGGAGGTGCACGCCAAAAGCATGACACACCAAACGAGGGGAAAACGAGCAAACATACAGACGAACACATAGGTGTACATAATTACATTATATACCGACTAATGGCAAATACGAGACGACTGTCTGCCTATAGAAATCTAACGAGACTGCCGCACAGCCTCGGCTGCCAATACCGGTACCGGTGGTGTGCTTGGCGTGCGACCAGCTGGCGGTATTCCTACATACACACACACACATATACTTATTTGCAGTGACTTTGCTTGGCAAGGTGCACGAGCTCGTGCAAGTGGGTGGGTGGTTGGCTGGCTGCTTCGCTCGGCAGATGGTCAGTTTGAGTACTAACCGAGAGTTGCTTCGGCCGTGCACGACAGTAATAATATATATGTATGTGTATATGTACGTGTGTATGATGTGGAAAGGTTGCAGGCACAGCAGCTGCTCGCCAGACTGACTAAGGGAGATTGGGTGCCGGGGGACATCCGTAACAAACTAATGCATTCTTAGGACTCATTGAAAAAATTACTCAAAATATGCATGCACATATAAATATGCGGACGTATTTACGCGTAATTAAACAAGAAACAGGTTCACTTAATGCGATTTGCAAGTGCTGTGTAAATATGTACTTAGGTATAATTAAAATACATATGTCAAAACCAAATAAGCGCCTAGTATGTATGCTGAAAGACACCTAGTACTGTCTCCCTTGTAAAACGGAGCAGATGGTTGCGAAATTATACAAATTAATTATTTAATCTAATAAATATAGGTTCGTCTTCTTTAGTACTGCGCTGCAAACCATGCAATGGTTCCAAAAATGAAAAATTTCACTATAAAATATTTTTTAAATGGTTTGATACTAATTTTCGAATTCTTCTTCATGTACATTTTATGTATGTATGTAATATGTATGTACATATATTCTACCATTTATAGGCATGTTCGAATTTGTTCACTCGTGGATATTATAGTCAAGGATAAGCTCTGGATGATAGTATGACGGTATGTTAAGGATCTATTATAATTGTGTAGTATGTACATACATATGTACATATGTATATGTATATCTATGTTAGGTTTTCTTGCTATTATGGTATAAGCCAATTATTTTTGCGTTTTGCATAAAAAAGTAATCAAAATTATTATGTACATATAAACACTCCTTAATATTTACACTTGCTGCAAAGATAAATACATACTTATGTATGTATGTAAAACGAATCAACCTGTTAAACTGGTTCTGTTATTTTCGCACACACTTTTCGAAATTTTATTTTATCTATTTTGGTGTTTTTTTTTGTTTCAGTAGCAACGTTATATAGAGAAAGTGGGTTGGGTTGGCACCTTGAGATTCGTTCATAAATGCATGTACATACATACATATATACACAAATACTTATACTATAGTATCTACTTGTTCATATATGTACATATGTACATACAATATCGTTGAATTGCGTGAGCTATTTTATCTGTCTGTCTATATGTATGTACATATGTACATATGTATGCATTTTTTATTGATAGCGGTTTCTTCACTGCGGTTGTGGGCTAATTGGGCTCGGCCGCAGCAAATTTATTTTGCTTCAAAGCTTAAATTAAACTATGAAATTGGAATTTTGCACGCCTCAAGAAATGCTACGTGATGATCACTTGATCTTACATATACATGTGCATGTATATGTACATATATGAAAGTATGTACATATATACAATAAATAATACTTATATAAAAGTTATACTTATGTACATATGTATATAAATATGAGCATCGATATAATATAAGTATGTATGTATGTAAAGATCTTTATATACATATAAGAAGCAGTCGCACTACTATTTTCCTGTGTATAATAATCTATTTTAAAAATACAGACATAGTATGTAAGTACACAACTGTACCTATCCTCTAAGTATTTTGACCTCTTCTTTTGTTATTTATAGATTAGGGGGAATACCGTATACCACAGCTACATTAAAACAAGTTTTGGGTTTCGAAGGCCAATGTGGACAGTACGAATGGAACTGAGTAGAAAATAGTTTTCAGGTAGTTACAGATCTTTGGTACATCACTGCAGAATAATCATGGTTCTATATATAATGCAACAAGAATTTCCAGGTCCCGGCTATAACTAAGAACAGAACACCTACATATGTATCTATGTATATTACTCTTTTGGATTCTAAAATTCTAAGCCACATTTCATCTATAGTATAGATAGATGTATAGTATAGATTCTATACTTCTCTTGTTCACTTACCTTTGACGCCAGGAATATGAAGTATTTTGAGTTTTCTGTTCATAACTTTTGTTGTTGTAAGAATTTCGTTTTTTTGTTTTCCTATCTATTTGAAGAGTACATATGATATGTATACATACATATATACATATGTAGTATAAATTCGAAGATCTATAAACAAAAACTCTTATCTGTTAATATTTAGTATTTCAGGAATTAATTTAATGCTTGGTTCTAATCGACTACTAAACACAGTTCACTGTACTACACACACCGACTACCACTAGATGTAAGAGAGGTCCTCGAAACCCACTGCAATTACGCAGCTAATTAACGTCCAGCAATTTGCGAAAGCTGGGAAAAACTGATACAAAAAAAAATATAGTGTATTTACACAAACAAATAAAACAGTTGAAGGTACGGAATTGAAATAAAATTAACATCCCATCACTCCCAACCTCACAAAGCAGCCCTTTACCTTAATGCTTGTAGGTCGACATCGGCTTTTTTGATGAACAGATGATTGAGTACAATACAACAAAAATGTTGCGGCCAGCCCAAGTACATAACGGCAGCAAAAAACCAAGCACAAAGCCGGCGGCGTTGACGTCGACCGCGGCAGCGCAAACAAATAGAAGATGGAGAAATAACAATAAAAAAATTATGTTGGAAGTAGACAAAAGCCAAGAGCAACAACCACCACGAACCAAAACCAAACGCCCCACACGTGCATACAAACCTATCGGCGGCGCTGCACAAACATGCATCCATACCGAGTATTCAATAAAACAATAAGCAAAAAAGTGAAATATTCCACCAATTTGCTTTTGCCTTCTTGTTGTTATTGTTTCTGCAATCGAGTACTCATATTTTTTGTTGTTATTTTAATATTTTTTGGCGTCTGAAGCGTGCGAGCGAGCAAGTAAACGAATGAGTGAGTGCGCGACCGAATGAATACACGTGTGTGTGTCTGTATCTTCGACGATACGAATACTTGTAATCGCTGCTGCTACTGCTGCCCGCAATTCGCCATCTACTCTCGTTCGTTAGCTGCGCTTCGTCGCTATCAGCAACACACAACTGTGGTTCCTCCGCAGCGAGCAAACGAGCGCGCAAAAGCCATAAGAGACACTAACGAAATTCAACCGAGGCGCTGAAACGGGGCCTGCCGAACTGTTCGCATGGCCTTTTCTTTGCCTGCCATATTTGTGTTCGGCCGTTCGCCTGCCTTCGCTGCGGTCTCTGCCACTGTCATCGTCATCACTACCTTCATTGTTGTTGCTATTGCTTTCGTTGCCGTTGTCTGGCCTGGCCTGCCAGGTTAGCACGACGACGCGTCGCTGTCGACGACGCAGCTACGGCGGCTGCGAGCAGTGACAGTGATGGTGGTGGTGTATTTAATGCACAAAAGTGTGCCTGTGTGCGTTTTGTGTATATTGGGGGCTTCAACTTCAGTTCGTAGAAATAATTTTCGTTACGACGATCACACTCGTTTATGTATTGCGAAGACGTGAAGACGTAGCGAAGGCCGCGACGCTTGAATTTCGCGCACAATACAAACACTTGAAGAAAGCATACATGCATATGCACACACCTAATTGTGATTAGAAATTCATTTAAAACTTTGCTTATAAAAATTTATTTACGAAATTTATAAGCAAAAATCAATGTGTAGTGCAAACAGAAAATTAACAAAAATCGGGAAAATGAAAAAATTAAACGAAGAAAATATGGAAAGAATGCAAAGCAAATAAACGTGTGAGTGAATGTGGCGTGAAACTGTAGGGAAGGCCCCTATACAAGACGAAATTATCTGATATTTGTGCGGAAGAAACATTTTTTAAGTGAAATTCTGTAGGTGAACTAAAGCCTAAAAAACATTGTGCATTCACAAATAAGAAGTATTAAATAGTGAATTTACAATATTTAAATGTTACAATTCGGTATGCGGGCCGATACTGCTGTTTAAGCGGATGGGCATCGAGCCCCGCTATCGTTTCGCTGTATGTTCGCATGCGTGTGTTGGTGTTGCCGTCTGTGCCATGTTGACGCGACAATACAGTAGCGTATATGCATGCGTATTGTGTCGATTAAGCTAAAAAAAAGAAAGCCTACACAACAACAAATTAATAGCAACAGAACGACAGCACAAAAGCAAAAGGAGAAAGCTTTGCTCACGCGAGAGGAATACGAAAAAGTAACTGTGCACACATTTACAAATTAATAATTAACTTGTGAATTCCCTTATTCAAACGCAACACCCTTTAAACAATATGCAATAACAATAGTGACGTTATTAATTTATACACAAAAAAGTAAGGGCGATAGAGTGAAAAATGTAAAACAATAGAAAGCGGAAAGTATTGCAGACCTACAAGAATAATAAAAAAATATGTTAATTCTAAATCCTATTACCTTTAACCCTCTGCTTTGTTGCTATATATTTTAAATTTATAAAAAGTGATTTTGTGCGTTTATTGTGATTGATATATTCAAAAACGCACAAAGTAAAAATAATCATAAATTAATAAACATAATCACAAATTGAAAAGAAACGCAATAAGAAGATACCCTACTAAATAATTTTTCAGTTTTGTTAAAAGCTGAGATAGACTGCCGCGATGTCTGCCGATATACAGATAGTTAGCGTGATTGGCGCCAACGGTCAGCCGCTGCCCATTCAAGGCAACAGTATCGGTTCGAATTGGAGTGCACCCGTGAAGCAGGAGCGCGCCGATGAAGCTGAAATCCAAGAGTTGGCTGCCAAAATGGTGGAAACACAAAAGGCAGCTTTGGCTAAACAGCAGCAACAGGCTGCGCAGCTGGCTACGCGACAGCAACAACAATTGGGCGGCATGCAACCGGGCGCTCTAAACAATACCAACCAACCAAATATTATGAACTATTTAACACGCCAAAAGAACCTGCCGAACGGTACCAATGTCAGCAATGGCAGTGGACGCAATGGGTCACAACAAAATGGTAACGGCAACAATGGTGATGTTAGCAGTGAGAAGAAAGCACCATGTGATGAAGAATCACAGAAGGGTCATTTTGGTTGGACAACATTTGGCAAAACATACATTCCCTATATTTATCGACAGCAGGAGAAGTACTGTTCGGTACGCATGATTGAAATGAAATTATTGGGCAAATATCTTAACTGCTTGCATCCGGATATTTACTCGAGTTGCACATGTGTGCGCAGCTATTACATTACAGAGGCGGAGGCGAGACTACTAATTGAAATCAATATAAAACACTGTGATGGTGAATTTGGACGAGACATATTCACTCAAAAGGATTTAGTGGTGCGGCTATCAGATGCAACCAAGTTTTATCAGTTCCTAGATATATGCTATCGCAAACTCATGTCTGGTAGCAAGTCACCTTCGGAGAAATGCGGTTTTATACGCATAAATAAGGAGTCTGTAGTACCGTATACGGTGCGCAACAACGAGCAAGTGGTGCCGCTTTTCTATTTCGAAGGAGAAACAGAGAATCTCAAACAGAAAGCCGACTATCTGTCTGGATGGGATCTGGCGTATTTGAAGTTTTGTTGCAAAGTTCAGGGCATACGCAATGAATTGTTCTCCAGTGAAAATGTTGCAGTCATATCACTCACAGACATCAAAAGCTATTTTCCCAATGGCACCGAGTTTGAGGACTATTGGCCCAGCAAAGTTGTTGACTCAAATCTGCTGATTGGTAATCGGTCAAATGCTAACAATTCTGTTAACTGGACCCGCCAACCATCGCAGCCACCTCCGAAAGTTATGTCTCAATCCAGTTTGTTACAAAAACAAACTGCTGCTGCAGCGGTTGCGGCACAGCAACAGATGCTGAAACGTGGCGCCAATGCTTATGCGTCACAATCGCCAGCAGCAGCGGCGGCGGCTGCCGCTGCCGCGGCCATCCAACAACAACAGCAACAACAGTCCAACCAACGGTTGCATCAGACAAACGCCACATTAGCGTCTGTGCAGGTGCGCAACATAAAATTCATCCACATGACCTTTAAAAAACTAATTCAACAATATCTTCGTATTTTTCTTTCATGTAACTTTCTTCGAAATGGTCTTCTAAAATGGGTTGTTTCTCTGATGCGATTTTTCTAAAAACTTTTGCAAATAGGCTCTAACAAACAGTTGGATGCAGCAACAACCGTTAATACATGCGCAAATGTTGGCATCACAGGTGAGAAATGAGAGAAGTCTATCTTTTGACAGACGTATTGTTAAGCGTAATGGGATAAGGGAGAGTGTACAACTTTTTCTGATTTGACATAATTTTAACTAAATTTACCACTATTATTGAAAATAAAATATTTTTAATTACAAAACATTAATGTTTATTCATTGCTCACCAACTACAAAGTTAGTTCGGACGCACTATTGAGCACAAAGCAAAGTCAGTGTAAAAAGTACAACAAACCCGCTTTAATTTATATATTTGGCCTACATTTGGTTACTTCCTATTTCGGGTTTTTCTTTGTTGGCATATTTATTCTGATACTGCCACAAATCTATGGAAAACGTTGCTTATGTTTGGTACATTTGGCTTTTTTCAAACTATAGTTATATTTTAAATATTATTAATATTACAACTACACAGTTATGCTTGCATTTTTAAATTTTCCTTTAACCATTTTGTTCTCTGCATGTGCCCATCGGTATAAAGAAGATTGGTAGCCAACGTTTAAAGGTTAAAAATGGCGACAAAAAAATTGGGTTTGGTCTGAATAGAGACTACAGGCGACGTCTACTCCAAATTGTTTGACAATTCTTAGCAGGAATTTAATATATAACAAGTTTTAGACCATTTATGTTTGACTATTTATGTACTTTATGATTTAGGGTTGTCTGAATACGATTCATGTATGAATATATATATCATAAATTTCTTAAATAAAGTACTCTTCAAAAAAGTGTAAATAATTAAACATTTTGTAATCTGTGCATTTACACCCGATGTGAAAGTTGAAACTTCTATAATATCTTTATCTTATACATATGTACATATTTGCGGTAAACAAGTCACACCCATAAAAATCCATTTTGTATACTTTCAGGCGCAACAGTCCCACCCAAATTCACGAGCTGCTCAGTATCAACGCAGTCCTATGGAGAATATCCTGCTGGGAAACCGGCCGGCCTATGCCTACAACAATCAAGGGATTTCTATGCAACCCGTGAATAGTCACAATCAAGCGAATGCACCGCCACCTTTGGTGCGTTCAGGCGCTGGTCAAAGCGCCAACCATATGTGAGTATGAATAGATGTTTTTATAGAACTACAAATATTGCAATTATAACTCTTAACTTTTTACTCAATTCAAAAGTTTTTTTAAAACTTGTTGCAAAATTATTCAAAGTCTATACAAGAGTTTTGACTGAAAGTTTATCTGTTCTAAAAGAAACTGTTTACAAAAATGTGTTTTTCAAATTTAGTTGTAATTCGTTTTTCGATTACTTTATATTTAAATTCTAAACAAGAAGAAAATTGAATTTTATTTCTGTTGGTGCATACGCGCTTCATCTTGTCAGTTATGTTTTTTTATGAAAAGTATGCACCGTACAGTAAAATTGTATATGTTTTTGCTTTTTTCTACGTAAACAAATTTCCTTTTGAAGATTGTTTTAAATTTGGATACATATTTGAAATTGTTTTATTACAAAAAATCGGTGGTTGTGCACGCATTTAATTTAGTACTTTTCACCAAACAAAATTCGTTTTCCCCTTCCTCTTATCGATATTGGGTTTCTTATTGTTGTTATAGATTTTTGAAAAAATTAAGAAATTATGCCATGCCATGCAACTTTATACAAATATATATGTATATATTCCAATTTTATTAGGATAAATAAGCGTTCATATTTGCTTTGATTTATTTCTACATCACATACCTTTTTGATGCCATACTATGAAGTTTGTGCTTTAATTTTCATCAAAAGAAACACATATCTATGTATGTGTGTGTTATTCGATCACCGTATTGTTTAACCATTTAGTTGAAACGCATTTTAAAATAAATTATCGCTCGCAAATAATAACTTAGGTGAAGTAGTCAAAATGTGAAGTTTATAATTCACTAATGGCGCCATAAACTCTGCCACTAAACACTTCGCCACTTTTGTTGCTTGATAATTACTTTCAATTACTTTAGTATCACTATTACATATATACGCAATCATTTGAGAATTTTCTACATTTAGAGGCTTCTTTACGAATAAAACTTGTTCAGTTAATAACTTTCACAAGATATGCTATTTTGTACGTTGTTGCAATTGTTAACTGTCAAAGTGATAGAGCAAGTTGGAGTGAAGAACAAAAGAAGTAGTGCCAAGCTTGCGTGCACAGTGCTGCATTATGCGGAAATAAGAAAATTATGGCTGTTATTTTGAAACAAAAGTTTTTTTTTTTTAATTTTATACCTTCAAGCAATATCATTTTTCAAATTAATTGTATTTTATGGCGATATAAATTGGAGCAGCGTGCAAAAATGCTTAAATAAATATTTTCATATTGCCTACTAAACATTGAAACCTATTTTATTCTCGTTTTGTGTAACACTTAATAGTATGTTTAAACTTTCGCTTTATGTATTTAAAAGCGTTTGCGCTTCTATTGAATTTTCAACACAGGTCCTTTGCATGAATTTATTTTTTTCCTATGCATTTCTACATATGCTCACAGATTTTCCATATACAACTTTCAAACTTTTGTTAGTTTTAAATGTCTTAATTGAATAGCTGGCATTGAATATTAATTATTTGTATCTTAGTCACATTGATTTGTAGCATTTGTTGAAGAACAAATAATTAAACTTTATTTTTATGTTTGATTAAATAACTTTCACTGTGTATCAAGTAATCTATAAAAGTAATTTTAAAAAGGAACTACAACATTTGAAAAACATAAATTTTAACAACAATTAATTAAATTTACAAGTACCTGTACCATTAAATAGTCGAAACATAAATGTAAACAATCAACCCAGTCCGTATCCTTCCCAACTTCACATGTTCATTCGAATATTTGGCTCTCTTGCTCTCACCTCTAGCTCTTTGTATTGAATCTAACAACATACCAATAATGTTCAGATATTTTTTACCCTAGATACATTATATATAATGCGTGTACAAGAACAACGAAAGTAGCGTCAAATAAAAAAGTCAATGTGGTTTAATTAAAAGAGAAAATAAATACTCCGCTGGCAATCATTTGCTGTTGATAATCTATTAAATTGCTTAAAAATAATAATTTCCGAAAATACGTAAAATATATACAACTGCGATAAACATAAAAAATGCAGCTAAATTAAAATAATTAAGAACACCTTAAAATTGCATACCGCGTTATTATGAAAATTACTTTAATTTAAATCGAATTGCAATTAAATTTGGAAATGTACAATTTTGTAAATAAAAACCATTAAATAAACTATGCGCAACGCACAACGTACGTGAAACTGACAAAAATATTCTATATATAATGTTTCTAGGTCAAATGTCGAGCAAACTATGCTGCAACAACAAACACAACAGCAACAACGACATTCTTCCACTTCCTCTTCCGCCTCCCAGCATGCGTCTGCCACTCATATGCAAAGCCCCTCACACCCTCTCTCACAGTTGCACGCTAACTCCGCTGCTGCGTCCAGTGCTGCCAATCTGTACAATTTTAATTTGCCTTCCACTGCTGCTGATTTAGCCTTTTGGAATCAATTGACTCCATCACAACGTTTGTTGCTCACTCAGCAAATCAAAAGTAATGGCACAGTGGGGGGTACTGCAGCTGCCTCAAGCGCTGAGCGTTCGAATAACACCGGTATTAATATTAGTAAACCCCCTGCGTTTCCGATCTTTCCCTCGCTACCATTGGATACTGATCTCAAAACTATGCTGGATTACAATCCACATAAGCATAGTAGCAAGAGCAGCACGTCGTCGAGTAGTTCGGCCAATGGACAGTTTATGAAACCAACGGTACCGCCTTTGATACCGGTGAGCAGCTCAGCGGATGTTTTAAACAAACGCAATGCCACGGGTACAACTACCTCCTCCTCGCGTCATGCAAGTGCGTCGTCTACGTCGGCTTGTGCGACGGTACCTTTAAATTCAACAGCATCATTAGAGGATTTTGAAAAGAAATTCAAAATGACAGACGAAATGAAAGCTGTGGTACAGAAGGTACTTTCTAATCCCGACTTGTCCACTTTCATACAGACGAATTCGTCACAGAATTTTGTTCCTTTTATGTCGCCACCCATATCGCCGGCGCCATCGCTGTCCATTGTGCCTAATCCCAACGTAACCATTACGCCACATATACCATCCCAATATGCACATTCACCGCACGCATCCTCTGCTGGCAGTGGTTGTGGACGTCAGAAAAGCGTCATTTGTTCGACTAGTGCAGCGCTGACCGTGCCCCCCTCACCTTCCACGTCAAATTCCACTTCCACGCCTTCACCATCGCCAACGCGATTGCACGGCTCGTCCGGCGGTTCAGGCAGTAGTGCAAGTAAGAGTGGTGGCCATTACTCCTCCCAACACTATAATAGCCATCAACACCACCACTCCTCCCACCATCACCACAGTCAAAATCATCACCAGAATACGCCACCAATGGAAGTAATTGATTTATCTTCCCCCCGAAGGTCCGTTCAAGCTGCCTCCGCTTATCTACAACAGCAGCAAGAAGTGCACCAAGCAGCGGTTGCCGCGGTACAACAGCAACATCGCTTAGCTGCCGCTGCTCAACACCATGCGCAACAAAATGGTCGCGCGACAGGTGGCTCTTCGGCGAATGCGAACTCGGCGAGCATGCATTTGCAACGCCATGCTGCGATGGCCGCAGCTGCCGCCGCGAATAATGCGCAAAGACTGTCAATCATACCCGAAATGCAGCAGTACGAGCGCGCAGCCAGCAACATGGGCAATCAACCATATAAAGTACAGAAGGTTTACGTGGACAATCGGCTGGTACCTTGCATCAATATGAAGGCGTACAATGACTCCGATCAGCTGATGACGCTAACTGATTTTCAGAAAAACTTCTTCCCGCACGAATCATTGGAAAACTGTAAGGTGCTGTTCGAGACATTAGGTGTAGAGTTGTACAAGGGCAATCGGTGAGTATTTCAAAATGGCATATACACTTGCGGTCATTAAAAATGCACCACCACCTTTGTGGATCTCTCTTCAGTTATGTAACTGTACACTTAAAAAAAATTCTACTAGATCTAGTAAGTACTGATAAATAATTTTTTTATGGAATTGGTTTTAACACTGTTCAATTATAGTCATATGCCAACAGATGAAGAAACGTGATCTTCTCGGTAAATAGCAGCTAGAATCGGTTGTAGCCATTCAGTAATTTTTCGACTTTTGTAGTAGTGATGTTCTAGGGGGTAAAAAGAAATCAGGTCGTCCTCGAAAGGCAACTGAGGGAACAGCATCTCAGATAAGTTTAAACGACGGCTTCAAAAATTCCTCAAAGACAAACAGTTAATTTGGGGCTTGTTTTTGTGACTTCTACACCTTGAAGAGCATTATCTTTATACTGATCCCCAAATCGGTGAAGTGTGAAGTTCCTAAACAGAAGACAACAAATAAAAGTCAATTCATAAAGGTTTTTGGATTGGTTTGGTATGGTCTCGCTATAGGGAAATCAATTGAGGTTCCAGTGAATTCCATCTCTTTAAGAATTAAGGCAGTTATTGTGGGTAAAGGAAGAACGACTCGTTATTTTTGCGTATAACTAATTTACATGTGGACAAACAAATAAAAATGGCACTAATATTTTACAAAGAAATTGCTCTTAGGATAATAGGTGGTGCGTTTTTATTGACCGATACATATATTTATTTATACAATTCATGGTTATATAATAAATTTCGCTAATTTTTATTAATTAGGCGACAATTACAAGTACTAATTGAAAATGACCGCTCACATAATGAAAATATACCGTTGGTTCAAGTTCGCGACGTCATGAAATATATGAAGCAGTTATTGTTTATGACTCGAAACCAAGATCAGCCGCATTCGAAACGGACACGCATAAGCTAGGAAATGGGTTGGGGAGCACAACATATACAACAACAACAACAGCAACAACATCAGCAGCAACAAACTCAACAACAGCTTCAGCAACAATTGAAACACAAATCACCAACGTCGTCATCATCGTCGGCGGCTGCTGCACATCTTCAACAACAACATCAACAGCAAAACGCAGCCGCGGTCGCTGCAGCTATGCATGCACCACTTAGCACACATGCAGCCCCGTTGGCGCCACCACCACCTCATCCTCACACGCACCCGCATTCGCTTGATATGTTGTACTCCCAAAACCGCCAACAACAGCAACAACTCCATCACTATCACCAACACGCACAACAACAGCAACACCCGCTTTACCAACAGAACAGCATAGGCAGTAACGGCAGCACTGCTAGCCATGATCACGGCTTTGGTTCTAAAGGCGCTGGCAACAGTTCATCAACAACAAAAAACAATGGCAACGCTTCCAGTGGTGGCAGTAGTAGTAGCACGTCACGACATTCTTCGGCAACTTCCAATACTGCTGCGCAACAGTTGGCTGCAGCAGCAGCAGCCGAAAGTGCAGCCGCTTATAACTTCCTGTGTGGTTCTGCTGCAGCAGCCGCTGCCGCCGCCGCCACAATGCTGAGTCCACCACTAAGCGCCAACTCTACATTAGCCGCCGTCAATCCCTTCGCCAACCCATTTGATTGGTTAGGCGCAAGCACTGCCACGGTGGACAAACAAATACGTCCTACTCCAGCTGAAAAACAGGCGCGTGCGATTGATGCCAGCCGCTATAATAGAGCTTCTCAACAACAGCAACAGCAAACGCAGCAGCAACAAAACAACAGTGCGTCAGCTGCAACGCCGACATCAACTTCGGCAGTAGCAGCGGCTGCAGCAGCTGCAAATGATTTCATGTCGCTCTTTAGCGCCGCAGCCGCTGCTGCTGCTGCAGGTGAACACTCCAGTTCACATCGTAGTTCTTCGAATGCGTCTGCTGGATCGGTGGCAAGCTCTACATCATCTACAGCGGCGGTGAACGCGAGCAGTAACGCGCATAAACTTACCGCAGCAGCGGCGGCGTCGTCAGCTGCCTTAGCTGCAGCCCATGCGTCGTCTTTATTCTCTCCACCCACGGCGGCAGCGGCCAATGCATATCATTTACAGCCGCCAAGTGCGGCAGTTGCTGCAGCCGCAGTGGCCGCCGGAACACATGGTCTGCCCTCGCCGACAATATATCCGCCAACACCACCACCGTCAACACCCTGGATACATCCTTGGTACGCGGGGGGCGAGACGTTTTGAAACTGACGCGGACGTGCGATCTAAATAGAATCCTAAAGAGTAAACATTAACGGCAGAACACCCTGTGAGCGAAGGTGGTGAGCGTAAGTGTTCGTTGGTGTTGTTTCAAAATGATTGAACAAATTAATTTGTTGCCCACTTTTCAAAGCTGTTCTACAAATTGTTTTACGTTGTGTTTTGTACATTGACACATTATCGAATATATTCGCTTCATATTGAAAGTGATCATAATTTAGACAAATTTTTGTACACCAATAGTTTCGATATTTAACTTATATAGTTAGTTGATACAGCGGTATAGTAAATTTAAAACTATACATACATTAAGTTATTTTAAAACTTAAAGTGAAGTTTCATCATAAACTTCAAAAATTATATAAAATGTACATCTCCCCATAAACCATGCAAAAATATTTTGTTGTGTAAAAAAAGAACTGAATGCAAATTTAGTAATAAAAAATAAGTACGTGAACTGCACTGGGTACTAACTGAAACCGGAACGTTTATGATTATTTGAAAAAAAAATAAAAAATAAAATAAAATAATCAGAACCTAGAACCTAGGAGGTACACTATAGTTTCGTAAGATTGACTGTATAAAAGCGCATAGCACCAAAATTAATCATCTAAGCTAGAGCATAAACGTGGAAACTACTGAAAGCGATTACTAACTGCAACTAGTAATAACTATTTAAATAAATAAGATATTTTCTAGTTGATAAAACCAAACAAACTATGTCAGAAATCAAATTTCGTTTCATACATAAAGAAAAGAGTAAAATTAATATTAGCTATGTAGATGTAGATATGTATTTGTCTATTAAAACAATTCTTTAATTTATAGAGGAAAACGCCTCCTTATAAACAAAATGAACAAAAAAATCTAATTACTAAATTTCGAAATTTTAAGTGGCTTTGTATATATTGACTGAAGAAGGAAGAAAACGTAATCAAACTTCCGTAGTATATTAGTAATATTTAGTTCATCAACTAATTTAGCTTAAGTTACAGCATATTTATTATTTAATACTGCTAATTTGGCTAAAAGTTAAAAAAAAAAAAAATTAGCAAATGCTTTTTAAGTTAAACTTCCAAACAAAATGGTATCGATTTGGAGCGCATGTGACATTTTCGACCATTGTTGCTATGCGGAGCCGCTTGAAACGTTAAATTGGTTAATCCGTTTTATGGATTCAATAAAAGTATACAACTTGTTAATTTAAATATTATTATCATATAAAAAATATGCAAATAATCATAGCAGAAAATAATTTGTTATCATAAAACCTGCAAGTATTCGTTCGCTCCTTATTAGTTAGAAAGTACAGTTTCTACTGTTAATATTCTTTCTTTGCAGAGCATGGACGTGAGTTTATTTTTTTTTGTCAATAATTTATTAGATATGAGATCCAAAAGATTATTTGATTATTTTATATTTATTTTGCAATAAAAGCATAGAAAAATGAAAAACAAAGACTAGAATTATTGGTGTTATATTTAGTATTAAAATTTAAAATAAAATAATCATTTGCAGATATAAAATAAAAATAAAACCAATAAAAGCATATGTAATAATAAAAGTTGATACATATATCATATTTGCTTAATCAGTAAATTTAGGATTGCATCATCAAAATATGATGTATTGTAAATACAAACATACGTATGTTGAAATGAAAACCCGTTTATATAATGAATCCATATGAATGTGTCAAAGTAAGTATAAGTGCTTTTAAAAAATTAGAAAAACGTTTTCTTAAATTGAAGCTAGAATAGTTTTCACAAATAAAAAAGTTTCCATCCACTGACTCGACTTTGCATGGTGCTATAGTGGATCGATTTGAAAACTATTTCGGCATTGCCTGGAATATTCTTTGTATATACAGGAGACAGACTCTAAATCGAATCAGAGCTTGTCAAAATGAAAATGTATATAAAAAGTTCATAGGGTCTCTGGATGTTACTTATGTACATATGTATAATAATCTCTACTTACCTGTAGTATAGGCTTTTGAGTAAATGGGTTAGGTGCTGTGTTGTTGATCGCCTGCTACACTGACTTCCCTTTCGATATTCATATAACTTAATACGACGTCTATATTTTAGCTTTTCCCCGATAGTAGGGTCTACGTAATCGGAACGAGACCGGATTTTTATTCGGCCAAGAACTGTCAACTTTCTGCCGCTTAACACTGTAAGGGGCACTGTTGCTCCACTCAGCTCAATACAACAAATTTATTTTAAGAAGTAAGCATTACACAATTAAACGAATATAACTTTGCTTTTTAAGGTGTGGAAACAATTGGAATATTAATAATTAATTTTTATGTAAAAAGGAAGTTTATTTAAAATAATACGTATTCGATATATATTGTAAATCGGCGCGTCCGGGATTGAAGTAATGCTTGTTTCCTCAGTTCAATGAAATTGAAGTGTTGCCAATTTGAAGAAAAAGGAAATAATCGCATTAGTAAATAAATACTTATATAAATTGTATCGGTTACCTTGTTAATTACCATAGAGCGTTTGTAGAGATTTCCGTGGAAGTTTCTGGGTTTCTTAAGACAAAATTTGCAAAAGTAATCGAAATATTTGTATCCTGGGGGTTGGTTGACGCTGGGTATCGTTCTAAATGTATGTAAAATCATATAAAAGTTTCCACTAAATAATTGCAGAAAACATCGGGAAATTATTATGTTCACAAATTTTATTTTGGCATTTCCTAAAGTTTAATTTAATTTAAAATATTTTTAAATTAATAAAATTAAAATATTTTTAAAATAATCGGTCACTTTTACCGATAATTAACAATTTTATCAAAAAGCAAATACAACCCTGAGCTGAAAATCTGATTGAAACTTTGTGGTAGTTGATTGATGAAGTGGGACAGAAAATTATATCAGCAACAGCAAAAGTTGAAGATAGTTAACTTGCGGAACAAAATTTTTGAGTGTTTTATACGCAACGCAATATAAATTTTTTGTAAAAATTTACCAGGTAATTCTAGAACTAGAGAAATTTGTCATATCTAGTACTTTAAATATGAGTAATACCGAGATAATTCACATTTTGGAATGAGTGTGTAATTAGTTTTAATTGTGAAATTTTCTGTCATATCAGTGACCAAGTACACTACCACCAACACCACCAATCGCACAGACGACGTCCATCTTTTTGAACCGTGGCGGATTTGTCCATGTGCGTGGATACATATATTGATGGGCATGTGTAAGTGCATTTTTGCAAAATTGTACGGGAATTTCTTCCATTAAAGCGATTTAGAGTAAAAATTCGTAATAATGTGACGAACGGATGTTTGACATCAGGTGTATATGATATTTGAGATTATATTCCAGTAAAAACAGAAATGTCATACCCGTAAGCAGCTGCAACCAACCTAGAATACACTTTCGTACTACACGTGCCTGCCTTTTGGTTGGTGAAGGGGAAAAGTATAGACAAATGGTTAGGGATGTCGCGGTGCACATACTTCTTAAAGATTTTAATTGCTTCATGGGATAAAAAATAATTCTCTACCATAGCTTTGCCTTATAACACAAACAAATGAAGATTTCGCATTATGTTCTGTTTCACCGAATGTATTATGTCTGCAGTATATACAGACGTACACTAATCATTAAAAAATTCTTATTTTATATACTTTTTATATACCATATTAATACTTGTCTCTTATTTATTTGCAGTTTAAACGCATTTTACTTTCAAATAAATTGTGATTCGTATCAATTTACAAACCCGTTAGCAGTGCGCCTGTAACTCTTCAAGTGGCAAAGAGTGTCTCTTTATAACACTAGAGAGCGACACGATTTTTGTGGAGCACACAGTGTCGATAATAATCCAGTTTTGCACCGTAACGCAACCAGATACTGCGCATCGCAAGCTATCATTTTAGCTTATTGTATTATCAAAGCAGCAAAATAATTGCAAGAAGACAACAAAATTCACACAACTGCAAAAATCTTTTTTGAATTTTTCTTTTATTTTGGTTTGTTTGCTTTTCGTTTCGCAACCAATCAATTTTGAACTTTAGAAGTTGCTTCTGACAACGGTGAACACATTTAAAAAATTCTGTAATCAAAAATCAGTGGGAAATCAACGTAAACGTCAATTGTAAGCTGAGTGGAAAGTTTGCATTGGATAATTCATTATCGGACAATACTCTTTGATCTTCGTGTGAATTGTGTTGCGCACCCCAAAGGAGGGGAGTTACTTGTTTTATATGACTTTTGAAAGATTAATAGGTAAGTACTTAAAATTAATTAATATTAAGGTGCTAATTATATGCTTTTTTAAACTCGTTCTTGTATAATTATTGAAACATTTTTATTTTGTTTGATAAAAGGCCTACCTCTTTGCACAGATTGCTATCATATTTTGCAGTCTATTGAATAGTAAACTAATTGGAAAATTGTAAACAAATAATTTTGAAACTAGTACTCACATAAAAAAATAAGAAAATGCACGACCCCCTCCTATCAATATATATTATATGTATGCTTGTATGTTTGTGCGCGCAAATTTTAAAACTAGTTACTTTCATTTTCCAATCTTATTTTGTACATAAAGTAAACGAACAGTGGACGCAAACAACAATGGACTAGCCAACTCATAGCCTTTATTATAAATCAAGACAAAATAAAAGTAGCAAATTGTATGCAGAAATCGAAAACCAGTTCACCAGTCCCGTGATTATGCAGTCGTGATTTTGATTTACGAATCGTTTCATTTGTAATAAATCTTATTTTAAATTTGTTTCAGTAAAATTTTTTCTCACGTTATTTCTAGAATTTTTTTAGTTTTAGTAGTATCAATGAATTATTTGCAAATCAAAGTTTAATTTAGTTGCTATTTTTTAACGAATTGCTGTGGTATTGCATCATTTGCGTTGTTTCCCGAAAAAAAAATAGCATAAACTCTGTACTTCAGTTGCAGTTGAAAAGATTTTCCATGCAATGTAATCAACCCTTTGCATTATCTTTACTTGGCTTTAACTTTTTCGATAATCGTTACAAAAGCGCTGCATTTGCCGATCTTGTTATATGTACATAAATTCCATGCATAAATTTTTGTCTTCTTTCATTATTCACCCGACTGCACCACAAGCCTTGCCAAATATTGGCTAAAATTCGCTAAGCCTGGTGGCGCTTATGGAGTTTAGTTTAGTTGGTAATGGCTTTTTGAGTTGTCTGCTTTTCTTTTAACCTATTTATTAAGCCTAATTTAGTACATTTAAAATCAATTTGTGGCATTGAAAGAAGTGAATTAGCTTTTTTGCATTGCAAAGGGCTCAGGGTTGAAATGTATATACATTCATACATATATACACACTTATGGTATAATAAAAAGGTGTGTTGGTGCTCTGCGTCAATTATTTGATTAAAAAGAAAAGCTGATGTACTATAAATAATTTCCTATATAATTCGCACGTTCACAAACCACTGTTGATTACGTGTTACGTGTGGCTTGAAATTTGTGCCTTAAATAATAAAGTTGATTCTGAGTTTAATTAATTTCCTTGTATGGAAATAAACTTTATCACTAAATACCTTTTTTTATTTGTTATAACTTCCATTTTTAAATGCATAAGGTTTGCATTTCTCATTCACTTTAAATATTTGTATACTATATACAATATAAAAGCTTGTGCACTTGTCTGAATGTATGCACTTGAGGATATTTACATACCTACATTCCAGTGCAATTCAATACCACTTATTCAGTCAGTTTGTGTATAGTTACGTAATAAAATTACAGAAAATCAACCTGAGATGGTGCATTACAGTGCATGTAAATGTAAATACATACTTACATATATGCAAATATAGTTTGTTGTGTATAGTATCTTGCAGCGCTTCTGATTTAAACCAACGAGTGTTAGTCTTTGGCTACGTGAACGCTTAATATTTAGTTTGCCCATATTTAGTATACATACATACATACATACATATATGTATATACATATGTATATATATGTATGTACATAAATTTAACTTGAGCACTTTCGTTTGTTTATTTAGCAAAAATTTTCATTTGATCGATCAGCTTTTGATTGTGCGAAAATTAGCAAGAAAGTTAACGTAACAAACGTTGATAAGGCTTCAGCACTTTAGCACTTTGCATTTCCAATAGTTAAATATAAGGTAGTAAAGCTTTGAGAATGTAAAATATACGGCAAGGGTTTCTTTAACTGCTCACCTCCTTTACATAAAACCTATTTTCCAGAAAACAATTTGTAAATTTATCAATTTACATCGGTGCATAGAATGACATTTTTGCCTTCAGATTTTAAACAAATTATTTTAAAACCAAAATAGCAATTTTTTTTTTTAACAGTTTTCATAACCAAGCAAGTTCATATGAATCAACAGTTAAATAATTTCTCAGTTGTGCATAATATACGTACATACATACATACATATGCATGTAAAATATATGAATCGGCCAGGCAAAAATAATTTTGTTCTAAATAAAAGTAATCAACTTAGCTGTTTTTGTAAAACAACGAATGTTTCGGTAGATATACACTTATGGACAAAATAATAAGTGTGAGTTTAGCTGGTAGTGTTTTTTTTTTCATACCCTCGTATGTATCTTTGCATACATAACTATTTTCATTATTTTTATATTTTTTTCAGTAAAAAAACCTTATCGCAAAAGTGCTAAAAAGTTAGAGTTCCAGCGAAACTTTAGCGGCATGCGATTGGTCAAAACCAGATATGAGATTTTTTAAGCATACAATGGGGTGTGTGCAAATTAGGTAGAAAT